TTGATCATAGTCACGCGCTGGGGTTGGCAAAGCGCAGGACACGCGCTGAGTTCCAGACATTGTTATGGCTCGGCTGTTGTCGTCGTTGCAGCGATTGGACACGGGCCACAACCCGAATGCTTCTCGAGCTAGCAATTGTCACGAGCCCAAATCAAATGTCCACGCAATGCTCGGGTCCAATCTATGAACCGCATTCAAATATCGTCACTTGGGTGTACTGCGATCCCCAAGTTACGTCATCAAATTTTGCAAAGGAGAGATTGAATGAAAATTATTGATTTTGTCCTTGAAATTACACCGCAACAAGGGAGTTTCTTGGCCAATGGCGTTGCGTGTGAGTATCCTTGAGTCCCAGGTGTGCCAGTAAGCTCGTGTCAAGTGAAAAACATTCCAATTGAATATCGTTGCACAGCTCCTTTAAGTTCGATCCCCACCGCCCCCGCCCGTTTCGATTTGGATGAGTTTCGTACCGGCACGCGTTCGTGTAATCACTACTGCGTGATGCGCGCTTACAAAACCCAGATTAGCGGTTGTACTGCACTGGCTAAAGGCTCTGTTATACTCCGACGTAACGCGTGCGCGCGCGCGAGCGCGTCACAGCGACGTCACGTCGGCGAAAACCTGACGCTCTATACTCCGGCGTCGTGGCGTAACCGACGCGACCGGCGGCGTTCGACGCAGCCTGACCACCTCGACGCCAAAATGGAGCGTGCGGCATTCCGCGCCGGCCGCGCCGGCGACGCCAGACCAGGATGCATCACGCGCTGGCTCCCGGCAGCCCCCACCCGGGAAGCGCGGCGAATACGAGCAAAGCAGACGACGGGAGCACCATTCCGTGTGGCGTCATGTTTGAAGAATCGGACGTCTCGGGTCGTCGAGAAGCTGATCGAGGGAATTCGTCCTCACCCGTGTGTCTACGACGCGAGGAAGCTTGAGTACCGTAGACCGTGCGCTTCTCAAAGATGTACCGTATGCACATTGACCGCCAACGCTTGCGGCGCAGGTGGTGCACCAACAGTGCAAGCGCGAGTTTTCGTCGTGCAAGGTACGTCCACGCCATCGCTCGAACTTTGCGCTGAAGAAGCGCGAGAATTCTCGTCTGCTATTCGAAACGAAAAGGAACCGGAAATGGCGCATTCTCGCAGGAAACGCGCCCTCGTAGCCAGATTCTGCGCATGCGCCGCGCTGGCGGCTCACCGACGCGCGCCGCGGAAGTCGCCAGGGCCGCCGGAGTGTAAAGAGGGCGAATTTTTGACCCGCGCGGCGTGACTGACGTGACGTAGCCGACTTCGGCCAGCGTTCGCTTGCGCGCGCGTTACGTCGGAGTATAACAGAGCCTTAAGAGTGAGTTCGTTTCACGGCACTTTTGCCCACGCGTGCCCACTCGCAGCGTGAAGTGAGTTCGTTTCGGCCGGCACTACACGAGTGGTTGCACTCTCCGAGTTCGTTTCAGCGCCGTCACCCGACGCGTGCAAGCACTCGCTGCACCCAGAAAATCGAGCGTACGCCAAATTGCAGTAACGTCATGCCTTGCTCCATCGAGGAGCGGGAGCAGACGGCGAGGGTTCGTCATTCGTACAGCGGAACCAAAAGGAAAAAAGTAGATTTTCTCATAGGAATCGTGTCTCGCGGGCAACGGAGCTTGAATTGTGAGCGTCGGATACTTCATGAAGGAAGCAATTGACAACCTGTGCTTTATTTGCAAGTTTTTAGTCGCTCTGTTGCCGTACAGGCGCTGGGATATACCAGTGTGTAAAGAAATGCTCAGAACAAACGCGCCAGCGGCCCCCGAGATGTTTATCACCATCCGTGTTAGGGTGGAAAATTGAACATTTGTCGACAAAGATTCCCCAGCAGAAACCTGTGACTGCCCAAAGAGCATCCGAGAAAGCTAAACAAAGTGATTTTACCCGAGGTTTGGGCAACATCAACATGTTTAATATTTACCTACGTCAGCTATTTTGCCCCGTCATATTTTGTTTGAGAAAGCTCTCGTTCTCGACGCCCTCACCAAGGCTAAAATCTGATACACCTGTAACTACGGTCGAAATCAAAAGTCCCACAAAACATTTTGCTGGATATTCCAACAGACTAGTTTTAAGCCATACCGTTCCTGTGCCGACAACATAATCAGTTTTCTCCAGTCTAAACCCCAGCTACTTTGTAGTCAGCTGGTTGCGGAAATTTACGCCGTTTGTAAATATATGTACGACAGCCGAGTTGCTTGAAGACATCGCGAATAAAAACTGAACTGCAGGTTGCGACTGCACTCTCGCATTCCCACCGATTACGTCGAACAGAAAGGCGCTAGTTTCAGTTTGAGGTCGGTACTCTTTCTACAAGAGATGGCGGCAGCAGCAGTCTTCTGCACTCGGTGAATTCGGCAAGTTCGTTCGAGGCCAGGTCTCCGTGCGACACTCCGCGAGTGAGATGCATTTGGGGGAGAACTGGAACGGTGCTAGTGTGTGTGAAACAAACTCGCTATAAATTTCTCATCTACAGTTAAGCGACCGGTTACCTGTTGAGGCGTACCAACATCAAGGCTGTATAAACATACAAAGCAACATTGTAGAACCCGAGACGTAGAATTTTACAATATTGAAAGTCCACCAGCTCGCTTGCATCTTCTCTGTAATTTCTATACAAAGCAAGCCAATTTTTTTTGGTGGTTGTATCAAGAATTGTTATAAGGATTCTTGTATTCGTCTAGAAATTAGTTTTACGGCAAGAGGAATCCAAATTACTTTGCATACGTACGGAAGTCGAGCTCCATACATTGTCTCTGTGAAGAATCATGTGTATCAGGTCCGGGAATGAAGAAAGACGAGACCGTTTGAAGTAGAAAACAGAGTTATATTAGAAAACAACATGCCAAGATGAAAACACACTAATTAAATTTACACACGAAAAACAACGAATGGTAGGACTTTGGGGAAACAGTATAAGTATGCACGTTCGATAAATTGTTTTCGCAATGTCGGCACAGTGTTTCAATGCTGCTCGCTAAAGGCAACCCGAAAGTTCACCGCAACAACTTATCGCTTTCTTGTTTCGTGGTGTTGGGTCTTGCGAGGAGTTGTGCGATGGAGCGGCGACAAAGCACGTACCGGAAAACCCGGGGTTCAGCTTGAAGCCGGTGGGTCGGAGGCGAGGTTGGCACGGCGTCGGCGTCGGGGGTGGCGTGTTGGAACAGACGGGGCCGCTGTGGTCTTGACGTGTACTCCGCAACACGTGCACCTGCTTTCGACTGGGGTGAAGCTTCGCGAGAGCCGGGGGTCAGGCCAGGTGGAAGTTTTGAAGAACCCGGGTCTGGACGCCCGGCGGTTCCCTTCCACACGCTGGTCTGCCCGCTCGAAGACACTCCATTTTTTGTTTTCCGCCTTCCTTCTCTTTGTCTCTTTCTTGTTGCAGGGCGCGTGGCACGCACTACGAAGATGACGCGCGCGCACACACAGTTCGTCGCGTGCACAACGCGGCACTAAGATGACCCGGCACGTGCACATACCCCGTCGAAATCCGTGCACGTTACAGTCTCATTTCTCCTCTTCTAGAAGTGTTTTGTTTCCGAGAGAATAACTTTTCCGAAATACTACTGGCAGTTGCCTCCCATTGGCCCATCATGCTCAGATTAGGTTTTTTTCTCTCATGAGCCGCCCCAGGCTGTCGCCTCGAAGCGGCGTGTATCGGTTGGCCCAGGTGGGTTACGTTAGGGATGCCGCGAACCACCCTAGGTTCGATTTCGAAAGGTTTCGATATTTTCGACCGTACGGAAATTGGAATTCGAAAAATTCGCAACTTTCGAAAATCGTAAAGTTTCGAATTCAAAAAGTTTGAAGCTTTCACGGTTTCTAAAAGTTCGGGTTTGATCATTTCGAATATATTTTTTTTAATTGAGGTTCGAGAAAATCGAAGATTTCGAACTTTCCTAACTTGAAATTCGAGAGATTCGAATGTTTCGAATTTTTTTGGATCTGAAATTCGAAAAATTCGAACGTTTCGAATTCTTATAGACATGAAGTCGATAAATTCGAAGATTTCGAATTTCTTTCTACATAAAGGTCGAAAGTTCGAACGTTTCGATTCTCTTTCAGCGCTAAATTCGAAGAAGAAACTTAGGTTTCGAATTTATTTAAAGTCCAAGTGCACAAAGTTCGAAGTCCGGTTTTCATGTTCCGCCACCAGTTTCAGTTTAAAATAACGTTTTCACGCCTCACTGGTTTTCACGAAATCAGGTTTAGAAATGTTTGGGTGTGATATTCAGATTGCGCGAAGTTGGTCAGGCAATTAAATGAGACGACGAGTGTCCCGGATATGCTGGATTATTTGCCAGTGCAGTGTGACGTGTGCAGATCAGTAATTGTGGCCGCCAACCCGGGGGGGGGGGGGGGGGTCTTTAACGTGCATGGCCAGGGGCAGGCAGGTGGTTGAGGGTCACTGACGCTCAGAAAAACCTTGAAGCGATCTGGGAAACTGCCTCCCCACCAAGAAAAGGAACTGAGTGAAATAATCACTCCAAATGGAAACATAAGCATGTCACTTTATGTAATAGATTCGAAACAGTATTGAAACAAAATCTATGTCACAGAATCATGTCAGTTTTCTATAATAAATTTATGGACAGAGCTGCAGCGATGTCCGTTTGATGTGATCACGAAGTGGCAAAGAATAAGTTCGCATTTTCATACCACAAACTCTAACCGCCGTCTTCCATGATTTCCGTTGGCGAAGCGATCGATAACTTTTCCATAGTCAACAGAGATGTCCCTGTGTGTATGCAGCAAGGCTAGGCCGGTCAGACGTGCATCGCTCATCTGTGACCGCAGCCATATTTTCAGGCGTCGGAGTGTGGAGAAAGACCTTTCAGCGCTGGCAACGCTTACGGGGAGAGTGACCAGTATTTGCAGGAAAGTCCTAATTGAAGGAAAGACTCCACCGTCACACATGTAGAGCGCTTGCACAGCAGTCGAAGGGATGTCCGCGCCGTCTTCGCTTTCGCGCTTTCACCTCTCCCGCCATAGCCGTAGCTCAGCTTGAATAACCTTTGCGGTTATCGGGGCGTGACTTCCTCTGATGAGTGAGCAATATCGCAGGACAATATCTGTTGCCCCTCTTGCCTCGTTTTCTCTTGTGGCGTGCAGCAGCTGAGACGGCAGGAAGACGTAGAGCTCGCAGACTCCAAAAGTTTCGTCAGTGAACCTTGATCTCAGGTCTGCCAACACATTATCCAATAATGGAATGTAGACCGACGTCCTGTAGAAGCTCTCCGGATCGAGCGCAGGAGGGTTGGACCTGTGAATCTGCCTTTTCGTGATGCGAGGGAGCTTCAGCTCCGTGTCTAGCTCATCTGCCAGCGCAACGGCTTGCTCGTAGAGAGGCCTGAATACCTCTTCGCAGTTTTGTCTTTGAGCAGTCAGAACAGCTATAGTGTCTGTCAACGTGTTCCTTGCTGTGTGAACGACGGCGCACTCTTTCTGGTACAGACGACTCAATGGCAGTGTATGCGCCAGTAGGTCCGACAGGCAAACTATTGCCATTAGGAACTCGCCATCGCCAAGCGAGACACGGAGTGCCTTCGCTTTTGCAGCGCTTTGCATTTCTCTCCAGCTGGCAATGGCGTCGAGAGCTGCGGACACGTAGCCTAGTGAGTCTCGAAACTGGATAACACTGTCGTGTCGTTCAACCCCTCTCGTCTCACAAAGGCCTCTAAGTTGGTGGGCAAGTGCATTTTGCAGTACAATGTTCCGTTTTGGTGATGCTGTGAAGAAGGAAATGATCTCCTTCATAATCCCCACAACGTTCCTGACAGCTTGAACTTGCGATAACTTGGACAAGGACAAGATGAGTGCGTGGTTAAAGCAAGGGCAGTGAACTGCGTTTGGCGCACACAGCTTGATTTCGGAAACGGCACCACATAGCTCCGACACCATGACGCTGCAGCCATCTGTCGCCAAGCCAACGCATCTTTCGAGATCGAGTCCTAGATTCTTCAACATTTTTACAACCCGTTCCCTGAGTACTTTCCCTGTCAGAATAGGCTCGGTTACACTGACGTCGAGAGCGTCGCTGTCACTGCGCGGGTCAACGAATTGTACGAAGTCTTCTCGTACCATGTTCTTGTGCACGTACCGCAGGACGAGACTTAGCTGTGATGTGTCAGATACGTCGGTCGTTTCATCGAACATTATGCTGTAGGCGCCTGATTCGTGCACCCACTGGATGAGTGTAGCAAGACCTCGTCTCCACAGCACTTGATTAGTTCATTCGGGGTTGTCTTACTGATGTACGTGGCCCGGGATGACGTGCTGGCAAGGTGCTTCTGCAGTTCAGTGTCCTCGCTTGACACTCGGAAGCGCAGTAGCTTGCGGAAATTGCTCTCGTTAGACGTCAACGAGGGCTCACTTGACCGTTCGAGAAGCGTTCCGTCGTCTCTGTGTCCACGCAGTGGTATACCCTGGCGCCCTAGAAAGATGATCGACTCTATGATTGGCAACAGGCGGTTTCGGTTGTCGTTTACTTGATGTATACGCTGACTGCAGATTTGATTGGCCACATCTTTTTCGGGCACGCGGACCCACGCGAGGAAGTTCTTCCCGGCCTGTATTGCTTCTTTGTGGTACTTGCTGGCGTCATGTGCAGGAAGGTCACCATCTTTACCTAGCGATTTCGTGAAGGACGTAAGTGGCTTCGTGACAAGTTCTTGAAGTGGAATATTTTTCTGGTAGCCTCCCACGCTACCCGTTGTGAACACCCCGCAGGGGGCAACTGTGAAGGCAGGTGTTTGGAGAGTGGCGTCTCCACAGACCCCGAGCCATGCGGGTTCGCCCGCCCACGTCTGGCTGTGCGTGGCGTACCCGTGTCCGGGGAAAGGGGGACCCTGGTGGTTGAGCTGAGCCCGGGGTATGTTTGGACACTTCGGGGCCCCCCGGGCGAGGCAATACACCGCTTCGGCCCCTGCTTCTCGTAGACGGGTGTCCTGGCTTGGCCCGACCAGGATGATTCAGCCAGTCGCCTCTTCTACCCTCTTCTTCCTTCTTTCACTTTTCCTCCCACCTCTTTCTTTTTTTTTCTACACTCTCTTCCTTTTTTACCTTCTTAGGCGGCAAGGGCTAACCTTGAGTGGAAACAGGTCCTCTCCCTGCATCCACACTTGGTTATAGTGCCCGGGCAGCACTGGTAGAGTAATTGTGTCAGCCAAGCCTTTCTTGTTATGGCACATTACCTACCCCCTCGTTGGGCTCCGTGGTGGGCGGTGCACCCGGGCACTGAAATTCCTTCCCATCTTTATGGGTTCTCGAACTAAAGCAACTGATCGGGCCCTGAAAAGGACCCGCACCGAAGTCCTTGACATTCCGACTAAGACCCCTGATCTTTTTAAATTTCCAAAGTTTCTTGTTTTGCACTCCGAGGGCGAAAAGCCACTGGCTAAACTTTCTACATTCTTAGTATCCAAATTGCTTGAAGGTATTATCGGTGCGAACTTTAGCGCCAAAAAGATGGCATCAGGCGACCTCCTTGTTGAGGTAAACACAAAGGAACAAAGTGAATCACTCTTAGCCCTGAACTCTGTCTCAGACTACAAGGTTAGTGTGACTTCTCATCTAAAGTTGAACACCGTCCAAGGGGTTATCTCTGAAGATGACTTGCTCGACTTGACAGATACAGAGCTAGTTAAAGGTCTCTCCGGACAGGGAGTTGTTGCAGCACGACGCATCACCATCCGTCGCGACGGCATAGAACGCAAAACCAGGCATGTCATTCTGACTTTTGACTCCACGACTCTACCCACTAATGTAAAGGCAGGCTACCTTCAGTGCTGTGTCCGGCCTTATGTGCCGAACCCTCAGCGCTGCTTTAAGTGCCAAAGGTTCGGCCATGGGTCGCGGAACTGTTGTGGCAGCGAGACCTGTGCCAAATGCTCTAGTAAGGAGCACGTCGCTCATGTGTGTGAGAACGAAGCTCAGTGCACTAACTGTAATGGAAAACATTCAGCATACTCCCGATCTTGCCCATTATGGAAGCAAGAAAAAGAAATTCTCACCTTGAAGGTTAATGAAAACATTTCCTATATTGATGCCAAAAAGCGTTGCGCCTTTGTTTCCAATGGCTCGTATGCCCAGGTCGTACATAGGGGACCGGTACGGCCAGTGGTTTCGACTGGAACACAGACTTCTACGGACGATCTGCGCCTCCCGTCGAGGTCCCCTGCGTTATCGGGAGTGGTGCCAGCGACACCGCTTTCGAACCGTAAGGTGGATGCTGCTTCTTCAGCATCCACCTCAGGGCAGGGGCTAACCCCCCCTGCTCCACCTGGCCCTTAAGGGCCGAGGCCTACACCCTCGCACCTCTGCTCCCCAGAGGAAGCCCGGGGAGCCGCCGAAGCAGTCGACTTCCAAGGGTCAGCTGCCGGCGGCAACAGACGAGCCCATGGACGAAAGTGGGCCCAGGTCCGACGAGGATGCTCCCCTCTCAGGATCAGAGTCCTCCCTTTCTGTCGCCAGTGAGCCCACTTGGAGGCAGAAAGACCCTCCTAGAAAACAACACGCCACGTGTTAAGATAGATTTTAAACCTTAAAATCTCTTTTTAAATCTCTTTTCGTATATATACATTTTTCCTCTCTAGATGCCAAAGTATAGTATCATGCAGTGGAATTGTCGCGGCCTTTTATCTAATATTGATGACATAAATTTTTTTCTCGATGAGCTTCGACCTGTGGCCATATGTCTGCAGGAGACTCATCTTAGGGACACGCATGCCAAAGTTTTACGGCGCCATCAAGTTTTCAGAAAGGACCGTGCATCATCTAGCAATTCATCTGGTGGAGTGGCTGTTGTTCAGAGCGGTCTAGCCTGTGCTCCAGTTCCTCTCACGACCTCGCTGGAGGTAGTGGCAGTCCGTGTTCTTCTTGACCGCCTTATTGCACTGGTTTCAATCTACCTACCACCAAATATTTCACTGCGTCTACAGGACCTTCAAGGACTCATTAGCCAGCTTCCCCAACCTTTTTTTTAATTTTAGGAGATTTTAATGCGCACCACCCCATGTGGGGCAGTGCCCGCCAAGACTCCCGTGGTGGGGTCATTGAACGATTTTTGTTATCATCTGGCCTTTGCCTATTAAATGGAAGTGATCCAACTTTTTTTAGTGCATCTCATAATACTTTCACCTCTATAGATTTGTCTCTTTCATCACCATCCTTACTTCCATGCCTTTCATGGAAAGTTTTAGACAATCCCTTTGGAAGTGACCATTTTCCTGTGATTTTAGAAAGTATGGCATCCCTCCCTTCTCTTCGAACCAGCATCCCCAGGTGGAAGTTGGATGAGGCGGACTGGGCTCTTTTTGCGTTAGAAGTGGTACTTGACTCTACCGAATTTTTATCTATGTCGCCTGAGAATGCAACCTTGCACATTACTGACCGAATCATAAATGCAGCATCTATTTCTATTCCACAAACATCGGGGAATCTTCCGAAGCGATTCAAGCCTTGGTGGACCAAGGAGTGTAGTGCCACACGTAGGTCTCAGTACAAGGCCTGGGGCACTTTTTGTCGCTACCCATGTACTAGGTACAATATTGAATTTAAAAAAAAGTAAAGCAAAGGCTCCTTGGACAAGGAGGCAAGCAAAGAGGAGTTCGTGGATGAAGTATGTTTCGAAAGTAAACAGTTTTGTTACTTCGAAAGAGGTGTGGGACAGAATGAGAAAAATTTGGGGCAATTATCTTTCTTTTAGGATATCTCTTTTACCCTCAGCTGTGCCCACATTAGAGTGCCAGGCAAATTGTCTTGCAAAGTATTTTCAAGAAGTCTCTAGTTCATCCAGTTACACTGCCACATTTCAGAAATTCAGGGCTATGGCGGAAAAGCAGCCAATTGGTATGTCTGGATCAGATGCTCTAGAATACAACCAGCCTTTCACATTGTGTGAACTTGAGGTGGCCCTTGCAACAAAAAAGGAATCTGCACCTGGACCTGACAGAATTAAATATGAAATGTTGCGGCACTTGTCCCGCGAATCCCTAGGACATCTGTTGACTTTTTTTAACCATTTGTGAGGAGCTTCTGTTTTTCCTCAGTGCTGGAAACGTGCGCATATAATTCCCTTGCTGAAACCCAGTAAAGATTTTTCACTGCCTACGAGTTATCGTCCCATTGCGCTGACCAGTTGTCTCGGGATAACGTACGAGAGGCTGATAAATAGGCGACTGGTGCACTTTTTGGAGACTGAAAAAATGTTAGAATCGAATCAATGTGGATTTAGAATGGGTCGCTCAACCTTAGATCATCGTGTTCGCCTGGAAACTTCCATACGTGAAGCTTTTGTACATCGACAGCACTGTGTGTCGGTATTCTTCGACCTAGAGAAGGCTTACGATACTACTTGGCGTTATGGGATTCTCAAGGACTTGCACATGTATGGCATTCGTGGCCGAATGCTGCGTTGCATACAAGATTTTCTTACTAACCGAACTTTTCAAGTTAGGTTTGGCTCCACACTCTCTGATGTTTTTCTTCAAGAAAACGGGGTCCCCCAAGGGGGTGTATTGAGCGTTACTCTGTTTGCAGTGAAGATAAACAGCCTGGCTGCAACGATACCACCATCCGTCTCCTATTCGTTATATGTAGACGATGTGCAGATTTCCTTTTCTTCCTCCAACCTCTCGAGTTGCGAGCGCCAACTGCAGGTCTCTATGAATAAAATGAGTAAATGGGCCAATGAAAATGGGTTTAGATTTTGTCCTGAAAAGACAGTATGCGTGCCCTTTTCAGTGCGGCGTGGCCTTTCACTTGAGCCCAGTTTACAGCTCAATAGTACATCTGTACCTGTAAAGCAAGAGCACAAATTTTTAGGAGTTGTTTTTGACAAGAAACTTCCGTTTTTGGCCCATATCAAGGAACTAAAGACGAAATGCCTGCAAGCGTCTAATATCCTCAAAGTACTTTCCCACATGTCTTGGGGGTCTGGCAGGCGATGTCTCATACGTATATACTATGCTTTGGTTCGTTCCCGCCTGGACTACGGTGCAATTGTGTATGGATCAGCACGGGAATCTGTTTTAAATATGCTAGATCCTGTCCATCATCTTGGCCTTTGACTTGCTACAGGAGCTTTTCGCACTTCGCCTATAATTCATTTCATTTTCATTTCATTTATTTACTCTCAAGGCCGAAGCATTACAGAG